CTGCCCGCAGCGCTGGTGGTGCGGTTCCGCACCCGGCGGTTCATCGGCGACTACGAGAGGAACGCAGGTAGGCGAGCGGCGGCGCGGCTTTGGTCCGGCCGGGCTTGGGGAGCGGGGTATACCGCGGGGGGAGAGCGGGGCCCCGGCGGCCGGCACCCGCCGCCTCCGGAGCCGCCCGGGGGTGCGCGAGCCCTGGGGGCAGGCGTGCAGCCCCCAGCACGGAGCCAGGTCCCAAGCGTAACGGAGGGAACTTAGACCTGGGGCTGTAGGTGCATCTAACAGGTATTTTACCGCGTCAGGCCCACCCAGACGTTACGGGGCTGGCGGCTGACGTCACGCGTGTTCCCCGGGCAGCGCTGGCAGCCCGTGGCCCGCCGCCCCGCGGAGGCGCGCGCCCCCACCGCGCGCGCGCAGCTTGTGCTCCGCTTTGACCGGCGCTCGGCCCCCGCGCCGCTGTGCTCCGGCGGCGTTGCCTCTGTACGGCGAAGTCGGCCCTCTTTGGAGAAGCCTTTTAGCTCAAACGAGAAAGTCCTGTCAACCGAATATTGTGCTATCCTTCGCAAACCGAACGCCGGCAGCCTGACGATCTATTCAGTGCCAGCTCAATGGGGACAGGGAAGAGGGGATGTCACGTACTTAAGCTTGAGCGTAGTAGAGCGAGAAGTCTAATGTGAATGTAAAATATACAGCATTCCGTTGAGGAAATGACTTGAAAAACCCAAACAACTAAAAAAAAAAAAAAACCTGACAAATAGGTCAGCTAGCAGAGAGCTCCTCAGAAAAATGGTTTGTTAAAGTGCAGAAATACTGAATGCCAAGGAAACTGCCTTTCTGTGATAGCTGGTTATTTTGCACACTTACCTTTATCATCTAAGTTAAGGCAGTCTTTAAGAAGTGATTAAGTTCCAAGTTGCACAGTATTAAATGCCAAGCTTCTAAACAAGTGAATGCAAGATTAAATCCCAGGCTTCTAGTACAGTCATAATTTATGGGTTGTCGCACACAAAAAACTTACAACACTGGTCCCCTCACTTCGTAAACAGCGATACAACTTTCCTCGCACAACTAACGGGCGGCAGAAGCAACATTTGTCTGTGTAGAGTGGTGGCTGTACTTGTGAACCTGTTGGTGTTCTTGTCAGGTAATCTCTACAGCAGGCACATCCAGATCGATGGCGAGATGTTGGCAATTCAAGTGCAAGACACTCCGGGAGTTCAGGTGAGCTAGATGCAGCCATGCAGTTCACCACAGCAGCTCTACATTTCAGTGTGGTGTTCTGTGGGGGAGAGGTGGTAACTTCTGTTATAACCAGTGAAGCCAGATGTGTTGCGTGCCTGTAGTATGCTGGTAGTGAAAAACAGCTATTTTGACAAATCATTTGTACGTTTGAGGCCCATTACTTTTGAGTGGCTGAATGACTTAAGTGTCTTGTTCCTGTATATTGGCAACATTAGACACAAAACCAGAAACAATTCTGTGCAAATAAGGTACATGTGGAAGAAAATGTCATGACTGCTGCCCAACAAGCTTCATAAACGGGTATGCTAGAAAGCAAAGTCTGCTATGTTGGGGCTGCGCTCATTAGTGTGTCACAAGCTAAAGTTTTGAATGTATAGACCTGAGTAATGCTGGATTGTTGCCTTTTTGAACTGGGCAACACTCCAGGTCTAAATGCTTCCAGCTCATATCTTTGCTTCCCCAGACTTACTGTCTAGCCAGTTAATTTCCCATTCTGTGGAACTACAAAGTCTCTCTCTGCATGCAGAACTACTCAGGTCAATTTTCCATTTGAGTATAGCAAACTCCAGTGAAAAATTCCAGCTTTTTGCAGCTGAATCAACATGCGTTTATTCGCCACACTCAGATTAAGTTTGTACTTAGAATGTGAAATGCAAATACGTATGTCTGAAGCTGTAAAATGCTCTTTGGCTTTACAGACTCTTAAAGACAGGTTCCTTTAATCTTTTATGAGTTCAGCTATCTAATTTGAGACCATTCATTTTTCAGATCCACGAACACAATCTGGATTGTAATGAGCAGCTGAACAGATGCATCCGCTGGGCAGATGCCCTGGTGATTGTCTTCTCCATCACAGACTATAAGAGCTATGAACTACTCAGTCACCTTTACCACCACGTTCGACAGTTGCATCCAGGAAACGCGGTCCCCGTTGTCATCGTTGCAAACAAAGCCGATCTCTTGCATATCAAAGAGGTGGAGCCTCAGCATGGACTTCAGCTGGCCAACATGCTGGGCTGTACTTTCTACGAAGTATCTGTCAGTGAAAACTACAACGATGTCTTCAATGCCTTCCACCTCCTCTGTAAAGAAGTCAGTAAACAGCAAACAACCAGCACCCCTGAGAGAAGGAGAACCTCTCTTATTCCACGGCCAAAATCGCCCAATATGCAGGATCTGAAGAGAAGGTTTAAGCAAGCTTTGTCTGCCAAAGTGAGGACTGTCACTTCTGTTTGACAGCAGAGCTGTTGGTCTTTCCAACGTTTAGCCTGAGATTGAAACCTGGGGTGTTTAACACTGGCACGTTTAGAGTCCAAGGCATTGTGAAAGAAGGATGGTTCAGGTAGCCTTCTGCATGGCTGTAGAAACAAGCAGTTGCTTAAAAAAAGGAACAGTGGCAGATTGGAAAAGGAGAGGGGGGGGGGAAAAAAACAACTCTTGAAATGGTTCTAGGATGTGACTTGTAGAACAAGTATTTTCATTTGGAAAAGGAACTTTACAGTAAATGAAGCAAGCCTTCAGTTTGCCTTTTTTTTTTTTTCCCAATGGGACAGATTTGACTTAACGCTTGTGCAGGAACAACCTTTTAGCTGTAACTCTCACCTTCTTGTACTTGAGCAGGGCAACACCCTGAACTGCAGTTCACTGTTCAGAAGTAACCACTTGAGTCTTGTTTTCACTTGGATGAAGGACAGCATGATGTATCTGTTTAATTTTATTACACAGTAGAACTGTTTTTCCCATGTATTTCAAAACAAATAAGCAAACATGAAATAGTTCTGTAAAAATAAGTGTAAAATAAGTGGACATGACTGGGTATCAAGACTGTAACCAATGGTCCTTTATTTTTTTTACTAGCTATGTTATTGCTGACAACTTGACCAGACTCTTTGCAAAACTATTGTCCCCAGAGTGTAAACATATCTAATTACAAATAACTTGTGGGTTTTTTACTGTCTGAAAAAAATGCTGTCCAGACTAAATGATCCAACATGGAGCATTTGAGGAATGAGCGTGGAGTTGGAGTGATAGTCCATTAACAGCTGCCAGTGTGAGACACTTCTCTGTGTGCAGTAGGCACAGAAGGAACGTGGCTGTGATTCAGCTCGGTGTGAAGCACGGCTGGCTCCAGGCAATGAAGCTGGTGGTTTGTTCTGAGCTGAGCCAGTCCCTGTTCATCCTTAAACACAGGGCAGACTTGCATATATATGTTTGTTGTTTTTTTTTTTTTACATTGAGCCAATGGAGTTCACAGGCTAAAGGCCTTATACACATGCACTTTAAAAAGCCAGTTGCGCTTTTGTTTAAACTGTAACTTATTTATTTTGTGTACAGTTACTCCTCATAGGGAGTGGACTTTTCATTCTTACTGCCTGGTTCAACATTAAATTTTTGAATTGCATGTTTTCTTGTGTGTTCTTAGTGGGTGAGAAACAATGGGCAATAACCAGTGAAATGTTGAGACAAAGTAATAGTTCTCTCGAGGTAGTTAGCATACATTGCAGAAACAGTCAGAAGGCCTTTCCTGCCTGTACCGTTGCTTTGTTAGCATACACCACAGGGGGGGAGCTCTCACAACTGCTTTACAACTTCCTTTTAAGAAACTCTTCTAGGAGAGGAACTGAATAAGGCGGAGACCTTTCAAATTAAAATGGGATTCTTTATCTCCCCTTGTCAAAAAAACTCCAGTAAGAAAGAATGACGCAAGGTAGGTCAAGATCTTCTCAAGGAAAAAAAAAAGAGCAGCTTTATATATTGAGCTATATGACAATGAAGAACTTAATCAAATTACTACAATTCTTCAATCATTTTATTCATGCTTAAAGTAGCTCTACTGAGAGCCTTCCTGAGAAGGATGCTTGTGCAGGGACTGGGGTGACTGCGGCACAGGCTCACCTGGTTAGCATGCAGCAGGGGTAGGGAAACCTGGACAAAGTCCTGCTGCTGATAATGTTTTTGACCATGAGCTACTAGTCAAGTGACTTAGGACTAGAGTTATGAACAAAATTGAGCTTGGCCATCCAGTCTGAGCTTATTACCAAATACTGCTTAGCTTATTAATATAGCAGTAAAAGCATTTGCCAAGGGTGGCCTTGTGTTTTCTCTTCCTTATGCCTTTTGAGTGTTGCTCAGTGTCACACGCAGGGGGCTTAGACCCTCCTTGCTGTGGTCCTGCACCTGCCCAAGCAAAGTCTTTTCTGTGCTGTTCCTGCTCACATGTGACTGGCAGGACACCTCTCATCCCCCGGCCTTTTCCCCGAGCACAGGCTGTGTAGCTACTAAAGCTACTTCCTACAAATAAGGAGCTAACTATTACACTAGGGTCATTGAAAAGGCTCCACTCCAGTCTTGGTCTAGAAGAGGAGCAGGCTCTTGTGACCATCTCCGTTCATCTCTTCAGCTACTGAGTATGAGATGGTGGCTGAGTCCCAGCACCCATTGCCACAGCTGTGGCCCCACTGGCTGGAAAGATTCCTCCTAAGTGTGTGTCTGTTGCGGGGAGGAGGATGACCTGGAAAATGAGCCTCTGCCTCAGTAAGAGGAGCTGCTTGACCTGTAGGAAGTGCAAGAACACCAGTGTCTGCTTAAACTCACCCCCTTCTCATTAGCCTATATAACATGTCCTCAGATGGCCAAGTCAGAGACCTGAGAGCATCTGATGAAAGACAGGTGAGGAAGAGAAGACCACAACTGCCAGCCTCCATCATCTCAGGACAGTGGCAGCATCCCAGAGGTGTGAGTACCTGAACTTACTGGCCAGCAATGGCCGCTGGATGCAGGAGAGCCTTTCTGCTACCAGCAGAGTGTGGAAGCCCCTCTAGGACACCTCCCAAGACAGAAGGTCTAGGTTCTTTGGGGCAACAAATAGTGCAAAAGAAAGAGTTCTCAGGAATACGCACTCCTGGCATGCACAGCCCTGTGTACTAGGAGAGAAGGAGAAGAGGGATGAGGTTCAGCATTTTAAGAGCATTGCTTTATTGATTACAGAATTTACAAAACATCCATATTCTAAGATTAAACAGTACAGAAGGCCAAAAAAGAAACGAAGAGACTGGCTATTTGCTTTCCAGTTGCTCTGTTCAAACTATTTCTTGAGCTTTTAACATTGCAATCTCATAATATTTCTCATTTTTTATAGCACAAAGTTCCATTCTATAGTCATTCTTATAAATCTCTCTTCCATAGAGGCAACATTGTCCACGCTTTATAATCGGTCCATTGTTTCCTTCCAGCCACTCAAAAGTGAATTTCAATCAAAATGCACCCTTTTCTGAAGACCATTATAAACATTTAAGAGAACTTACGCTAGCTAGTGAACAAAGGTTAAAAAGCTACTTCCCATTTAATCTATTCCTTTGGCATAATACAGAATGCTATGATAGAGTGAATGTCACTTATAATTTCACATTCTCTTCTCAGGGTAAGCTGTAGTCTTAGCATCCCTTGGATGAAGCAAGAGGATGCAGCTTTAGAGCTCCACCATTTTATGTTGCAATTTGGAAGCCTTGGTGCTATACGCAATCACAATCTCTATTGGCTGCTGCTTTTTTATCAGATTGTATCAAAGTTTCATAAGGAAAAATTACATAACTGAATTTGATAGTGGCTCTTTCATGATCATAAATTAAAAATAAAAGCTCTTCTCTAATCATGCTGTTCAGAAATCTAGCTCAAGAAAGAATCTGTTGCTGCGGCCTCTTGAAAATGGGATCGTGCTTTTTTTTCCCTCTTTTTCTAAATGCATGTGAGGGGAGGATTCTTCCAGGGTTATCATCAAACCATCACAGCCCATATGTCCTCCTGCGTAAACCTACAGAGAAGTGTGCCATCAGAAACAGTCTTTTCTCCTGGGACTGTGGGTGGAGAAACTAGAGCAGGAAACGGGAAGCTAGGAGAGAAGCAACCATGTAACCCAGCCCTTGAGTCTGGCGCTCTGCTTCTCTGCCTCTACCCGTCCTGCTGGGAGAGCATCACCAGACTGGAGCTGCTCCGATGGCTAAATCAGGGCTGTGCTCCCTCTCTGGGGAGAGGGACGAAGTAAGAGCAGAGGTGGTTAATGCTGTATAAGGCACATGTGTTTTGCAAGGTAACATGACAGAGAGGGTGGATTTTGCTAGCCTTTCACTCCCTCAGTAGCATTTCTCACCAGAAGCAACCCCAGCGAAACCATCAGGAATACTCAGAGAAAAAAGTACTGCTTGGGAGTGCAACCTTGGCATCACCTGGTCCTCACCTGCTCCTATTCTAGGGAATTATTACAAGTGATCATCCTTGCTGTGCAGAGTGGGGCTGGGGTGATTCAGCACCGCACGGTGTTACCGTTAAGGAGGGGGGAGTTGTTGCTAGACAACTGGACCATTTTGAAGAGCTGCCCCTGAGCTGCGCATGCTCCCTTGCAGCCAGGTACCCAGCTGCTTCCCCCCATTTCAGCTGGAGCCATAACTGCAGCAGGGGACATGCCATTTTTTGGGAGGCTATTGGGAAAAGCAACAGACCAGGGATTTGATGTTTCCAGCTGAGGCACTCACTCATCTTCTCCACAGATCCTCCCTTGTCAGATATCGGTGTCAGGCTGGAGACGGTCTGTGGCAAACAACAACTCAATAGCACTACATGGTGTCAGGAGTGCAGAGGAGAGCACGATTACCTGAAAGAAGGGGGAGAAGAAACAACAAGTCAAAGTGAAGGGGACCGAGACTGATCACAGTACTAACGAGCCATGGATATGAACTGTTTGCTGCACCCTGTCTAGTAAGAGGCTGTGTGTTTCTGGTGTTTACTGACAGGGCACTACAACTTGCCCAATGAAACTGTCTGCTCGCTAATAACTGTAGTTAAATCACTTTAAGGAGCATAATGACTGGTAGCATTGTACTCTAAATGAATGTGTGCTTTGACTCATTTCTACCCACATCTTACCCGGTGATTTGTTGTGACTGCCATTGTGTTTACTGCGAGGCACCAGCCGATGAAGCAGGGGTTTCCTCTCCTATAGCACGGCTTTGAGTGACGGCTGTTCCCTCTCAGCTGAGGGTACGGTGAGCACCACAGAAGTGCCGCCAGCCTGCTGCAGGGAGCTACAGTCCCTGTTCAGAAACGTCCCTTCAGGCCAGGCACACGCTGTTCGGCACATCAGGAGCGAGGGTCAACCTCGAGCATTTGTTTGTTCAAATTTTCAATCCAAGATGGGTCTGATGAATGAAACTATTGCTCACTACAGCCATGATACACACCCTGCTAGAGGCAGGTATCTGTTTTTGTTAAGTGAAAACCGGTATGCAGGTGGCTAGTGTGAAGGCTCCTCTGCAGGGCAAAGCTACCAGCAAGGAGCAAGCGCATACGCTCTTGCTGCGTGGGGCTAACTCAGGGTCAAAGCTGTGGGACACTGCTCTTACAAAGCCCCAAGTTCAATAGTGTTTGTAGGGTCAGGACTGCAGGCAGGGATGTGGGGGCAGATTTATCTTACTGGCCCACTTGAACATTAATTTGCTTCTTCAGTGCAAATCCAAGGAGAAGCAGCACAAGCATCAACAACGGAGTATGTGTGTCCGTTTCCCGCAGTAGCTATCAAAACGCTTGTGCTGTTCATCGCACGGCTTAAATGTGTGGTAGTGCTGCATTTAAACTTTTTTTGTTGTTCATTCTTTCATCTTTTCACTTCAAATAATGAAAGGAATCTGGAGTTAAGTTACTACAGATCCCTTCTGTACTGATGATAGTCTCCCCCTCACTTCTCCCCTTCCCTTGTCCTCCCACACAGTCTGTGGCAAACTGACACTGATTATCTCTTCTCCTTCCTATGGATGAAAAACTCTCTGTAATTTGCAGATGCCAAAGGCTGACACTGTTTTACTTGTGTTACGTGAGAATCAGACTATAGCACAGTATGTGCTCATCTTGTTATCATGCAGCTTAGTTCTGAAAAACACGAGGGGACACGTTACTGGAGTTTTTTGGGTGTACAAGCCAAACATCAACAATAGCCACTGCCAGATAAAAGCAATTTCTTCTTGGAGTCCCACCACTGAACCCTGAGGGGATTTATGCAGCTGATAGCAAGCCCAGAGAGAAAAATGAGAGCTGCAACTTCAACGTGTGAGAAAGGATGCAGTGGAATACAGTGGGACTTCCCTCCTTTTCCCCCCATATCTCTGAGGGCTCATTGAGGGGGATAAATGTGAATATTTGTTCCTTCATTTTTACAGAGAAGGGGGGAATTGCCCAGATAAGCAACATCCATCTCTTTTCCAGGCAGGTCTCTTCAGGACAGTGTATCTCCTTTGCAGACCTTCTTGTTCAGTACAGCGCTCCTGTCTTTGATGCTTCACTTGAAGGGCTACCCCTCCTGATGGCAGCCGAGGAGCCAGGAGCTCATGTCCGACCCACCGCGCTGCAATGGGCAGCTCCCCCGCAGCGGAGGGCAGGGAAGGACGCAGCTAACATCTGATGGTGCGTCTGGAAGGGTTCATCTGTCTGCAAGCCTCAGCCACAACCACATAGGTGGTTGTGCATGTTGCGAGGGTGAAGCATCCACTCACGCTCTTTCCCCTTTTTTTACTCTCCTGATTGAAGTGGAAAAAAAAGGTAATTTATTCCTTTGAAAGTAGGATACTTCTGACTAGGTTAGGGGAGCTATTCGCCACCATCCAAAAACAAATGATGTGTAGGAAACGCTTATTTCTTTGTGCTTCTCCACGAGAAATAAATTTGTCATTCATACTCAGATGCAGAGCAGTTCTGTGGATGGAAACATGTGTCTCCTACTCCACATTTAAATGTCATTTGCCTCAGCTCTGAACAACCGCTGAAGTAATCAGTAAAACTGCGTCCTGTCAGTTTTTTTGTTACTTTCCTCAATTCTTTATTTTTGCACCCACACATCTCTCCATTTCTCCAAGAGCCAATAATTAGTATAAATGTCAGTGCTTTGTTTGACTGGAAGGGACTTGGGAGGCCAGTGTTCCCCTGACGCCTGAACCTGATTGCCTGAACACCACAAAAAAGCTCTGTTAAACGCTGGCTCGAGTTAGACAAATGCCTGGCTTTTGAAAAGAGAATAATCCCAAACAGGTGGCACATATTCGCGGCTATAGTGCAGAAATCCAGGTAAATCCAACAAAGTCATAAACGTTTTTTATATGAGAGACTTGCATAACTGCTTCTTTTCTTCTTTCTCTTCCTCCTCCCACCTCTCCCCCCAAGTCCTTTCACCTCTAACACAGCACATTCGGACAAAGGGCAAGATGTAGTAAAAGCTTAAAATTCTTTAGGAATCTGCCTCAGAGGGTGACCTGCCGCCGGGGTTAAGCCAAAGCAAAGCAACACCAGATCCCATGTCACCACCGTCAAGCCTCAAGTCCCTCTCGAAAGCCAGTCAAAAGTCTCCCTGCATAGTTCTCAACCAACTCATGTGTTAACCCTCTGCTTATCTTTCAGGGTGCATTAATACATTTCAGGTGTGGATTAACTTGTCCATCACTGTGTCACAACTCAATCCCCCTTCCAGATGGGAAAGAATTTTATTCGCTGTTTTGAGGAGATTAGCAATAGGCTAATTGGGGAGAAACGTGTAATCAGATCAAAAAAACATCACTAAAAATGGCACTCTGTCTTACAGAATACCGCTTGAGACTGCCTTTCAAAGGCAACTAAAACGTTGAAAACACATGTCACACCCAGGGGATGCTCAGCCTTTGGTTGGCTCCATTTTGCTAATGATTTCTCACTAATCAAAACTGCATTCCATAGGAATTGAAAACAAGATGTTTACAAGCCACCCTGGAAACTAGACTTATGTTTACGATGCAGCTGGTTACACAGCACTTCTTTGCAGTTTTTAGATTGCCCTGTATATCTTCACTACTCAGCAGATACCCGATAGCTCTTGTACACGCTGCTCCACAGTTAACAATGATTTTTAACATCTCGGACGCCACCACAGCCCATCCATCCATCTCCTCTCTCTCCCCACTCCATTCAGATGACAGCTACTGCAGTCAAGTTCTGCTGCCGGAGAGTGAAAGAGGCAAAGACCAGCTGCACGGTCGCTATTGAAGCTTCACTGTGGGAGCCATCCTCCTTCCAGGAGTCTGACAGCATGTCCAAGGGCTGCAGAGACTTGGGGCGTTCACATCACTTGCTTCAGGCTACTTAAGGCATCTAGTGGTCAGGTATCTATCAGAGATACCTGGCCTCGACCAGAAACACATACAGCTGTATCCAGGCTACTTTATCTTGCTCCTCAGCAATGCTAATTGACTTGTCTGCAGGATCACCACTGATATGTCACTAGATGGTACCCAGACCCTTTGCAGGCTCCTTCTGAGCATCCCTGCACTATGTCCTGTGGATGCACTGCCAGGAAGCCTGTAGCCTTTTGGACAGCAAATGTTTCTGTTTATAAAGAATACCAAGAAATTAATCTTTTGAGACATGATGAAAGCTCCTTCAGAATAATGCTAGTCTGTTCTGAACTCTCCAGCCTGAGTTTGAACTTTTATTGCTGACTATAACACGTAAAAAACAGACCCTTGGTGCCTGAACACTTGTTGCCTACAGATGCTTCACAGCAAAATCCTAACACCATTCCTGTCCATGTGGCTGCGGCTTTGTGTAGGTTTGGTACCAGTACTATAGGGAACATTATATGATGAATTTTCTTAGTCTTCGTTCAGACAGGAACTGTACATTTAGACCTGTTCTTACCTGGGTACCAGGTTTGCGTGTTGCTACCAGATCCTTCACCATTTTGACCTCGGAGACTGTCACTCCACCAACCATAAAGATGATCAGAAGAGGATGATCACCAGGGTGAGGGCGATTCACCTGTAAAATGAAGGAAAGCGTTATTTGTAGTCGCTCAGTCCAGCTCCAAACCTATGGACTAGCAGTGATCGGCTCCCTGAGCTGCTGGAGGAAGACTAATGAGGAAGCTCAGAAAGAAATATTCATGGAATGCTGGTTTCTGTAGCAGCTGAGAGGGAAATCAATGGGGACGATGCCCAGTTAAAACTAATGAACTGTTTCCAGGGAAATGGAGTCTTCACGGCTTCCACTGAAACCTAGAGAAGTTTCTCATGAGGTCTGAGGGGCTTTAATGAATGAGGGGTAAATTGCTACCCTGTAGAAGCAAAGAGTCCAGCCTAAACATGCTAGAATCCCTGCCTGAGGTCAGCAGTGGGAAGAATCGTAAGTAATGTGTTTTCACCAGTCCAGCGAATAATACTTTACAATTCATCCAATGAAAATAGATCAGGTTCCTTATCGTATAAAATCAGTTTCTAGCTTGTTTCACTTCAGAGTTTTCAATACTTCTATGACTGGGTTGTAACTAATATAGAGAAACTTTAGCTCAAACAAAATACTTGTTTCATTTTTTCCCAGTTATTACTAAAATGGCACAAACTTCCCACTTCAGTTAAGACCTTATAAAAACCGCGTTTTAATTTTAAACGTGAAGGTGATGCTTTACATCAGTTTCCTCTTAAACACTTCTAGAAGTTTGATTACTTTGCTGTTTCCTAGCAAACTCCTTCTTTCTTGATACAACACACTCCCCTGGCAACGCCTTGCTCCAGTCTTTGGGACTGATGTCAATGGAGCCCATGCAACTGCTCTTGTCACACCACCTTTGAGTATGAAACACTCCAAATGTTCGGCTCTGAGAACTGACAGTGAGAACAGTTTAATTTGCTCCTTTTTAGACTCTCCGCCCCCTCTCCTTCCACAAGCGTAGGTTTTTGACAGCATTCACTTGACAGAATGAAAGTGGTCATCAACTCGTGTTGGGGCGGAGCGCAGTTCCTTTGCTTTCACCGCCCCTTTGATCCCTCTGACTCCAGCTCCCGAGGGTACAGCTCTTCTTCTCTTCCTTGTTGTGGCTCCCCTATATTTAGTCTTTGGGCAGTTTTTCATCCTGCAGCTCCGTCAGCCTTTCTGACTGGCAGCCTTCCCTTTGAAGCAAGCACGGGGCGGGGGGCGATGGCGTGCTCTCTCCGGGCTAGCTGGCCTTTGATTACACAGGGCTCCCTGTTCAGTGCTGCTCCCCAGGCAGGGAGCTCTTCAACTCCCCGGGAGTTCGAAACCAGTACAAAAAGCCTTAGATAGATGTATTAGTGAGCTGAGTATTGGTGTACTGGGTGTTTATTCTCTTCATCACCCCCGCTTTGCCAGCCATCTTCATTCAACTGATGGCACAGATAGCATATATACTGCAGTTCAGCAGGGTACTGCAATTGTGGTGTGATATTGAGCAATTATCCATTTACACCACCAAGACCAATTAAATGCATACACCAGAGCTTACAAAGACTTTCTTTATGCACTTTCCTATATCAGACTACTCACTTCTTACTATCTGCATATTACATAGTGTTAACCTCAAATGAAAAAAAAAGTCCATTCCTATTACAAACACCACGAGGAGTTCAAGTAAGACCTAAATATCTACTTACAAAGCAGGTCAGATAGAGGTATTACTTGCTAAAATATTAGAGTATTTCATACCGTAATTGCTGTAAGCAGTGACACAAGGTTAAAGAAATAATTACTTGCAAAGATGGTGAAGATAAAAGTTGACAAAATGCTCTTCTATGGCACTTCAAGGTAATACAGAAATCACTGTTTTATTCCTTTTCATGGATCTTTGCTCTTCTTAACCCTGTCGCCATAGCAAACAGCTCTACTCCCTCTCACGAAGCTTCTGAAAGACCCAAGATGTATGCACAGAGCTCGAACTTCAGAAGCTTGCTATTGAATAAAGCCTCTCTTTCCTAGCGACAGCAAACTCATCATAAACATGCATGCATAACATTGGACACACTGAAAGGACACCCAATATAAAAGCATTAATCGGAAAACACACGCTTTCGCAGCAATACTAAAACGAAAATGTCTTGACAAATCATTTCCTTCAGTCAAAATAAACCTAGATCCAAACACATGGTGCCTATATAAAACTTATTATTTTTCAGAAGACTAAAGTTCAAACCACAAATTCCAGAAATGCATATTAAAAATACTATTAGGCATGCAAACTCTAAATTAAATTAAAATTGCAATGAAAAGGGTCTTGGAATCTGTAATTTTGTTATGCTTTGCACAAGTGTTTTGAAGGAGGACAATACTTTGGGTACAAAATATTTGGCTGTGTTAAGAATGCATGTTTCTGCCAAGATTTTTTTGTTTGATAATACAACCACCCAAGGCTCTCTCCTTCGAAGGAACTGGCTGTGTGTAGCTAAACACAGCTCATTTCTGTGATACAGAAGAAGAACTGAAATGGACTGGAACAAAAGCAATGTGTTTCTTCTGGGATCCTTTTAAAGTTCGGCTGTTTTGGGACATTTCTGAGGCCTCTGCATTGCATTTACTGTGAAATCTGAATTTTGCAAAAGTCCCCAAGTGAAATTCACTTTCAGTTCAAAATGTCATGCATTAAAAAAATTGGGAGAGTTATCCCGGGCAATCAGAAAGACTAACCAAGAAAAAAGCAAAACCATTACATCGAGCAAAGGAGCCTGAAGGAAGAAGGAGGAATGGTTCCCTGAGCTGGCAGAGCATCCCAGCTAGACATCGGCCTTCTCTCCAGCTCTGAGCCCACCACTACTGCATTTCCTCAGGATGCTGATGGTTAGTGGGCTCTTTGCTGGTACATGCGTCTGCGTGGAGGAGAGGGAGAGGGGGAGATGGGAAAGCGGGATGACAGCAGTCACTAAAACTCTAAAACTGAAGCAGGAAGGGGTCAGAGGACAGGTTTGTTCTCACGGCAGATCACACAACACAGCATTTTCCTCTGAGGAAAGTCAGCAGAAACAACTTTACTGCCCCACGAGGGCTATCTCTGCCAACCAGGACACCAGCACCAATGCATCTGGTATTTCTGACCAACCAGAAACGAATTAATTTTGCTGAATAACTGGAAAAAGGAAAACACATTGATCACCAGAAACTAGACTGCCATGCAAGGCGCTAAGGCACTTGGTATCAATGATACCAAGCTCAGATCATCATAAACCACGTGTGTTCTAGAGCAGCAGTCAAAAGAGGAATCCTTGCGGCAGGAAGGCCTTTTCCCTTTACCTTCCCTAAGCTTCAAAACAAACACATCCACCAGAGAAACAACTTCTGGATGAGAAGCATCTTTAAAAGTCTGCCCTGGATGAACATGTCTGAGTCCATCACTTACCAAAGCATGTTTATGTGAGTTGGCATTATATTCAGGCGTTGAGGAAGAAATAAAAATATAAGGAAGCTCATGAAATAATTACAGTGCTGATGGTGCAGTAAGTGGAGAAGATCCTCTTGTGTGAGAAATATAGGCTGGTCAGAAACTCATTCACATAATAATCGTGCACTTGTCAACAAGCCAGGCTGCAAACTAAATGAGCAAGCACAGACACATTTGTCAGGTATGTGATGATGCCTATGACGTATTCATCCTACATGAGGTTCAGTTGCTTATCTGTTATATATTCCTTACAGCAGGATATTTTTCTTACTAGCAGAGATCCAGGTGCTTACAGGTACATATTGCCATGATATACTTCATACTCTTCCATAATACTCTTCAGTGGACAGCTCAGGATATGCAGTAAGACAGAGCTGAATGCACAGCATACTAGCTGCTTCACACTTCATCTCTGTAGACATTTAATGAAGACTTAGCATAGGCTAATTTGTAAAGCAGAGTAAGCTCTTGTAGAAAGACTGTCAAGACATGCTAAGAGCATTGACAAGGCAATTTCTGACTAATGGGCTTCCTTCCTCCCCACTGCAAGTTGAACCTTATCAAGTTATAAAAAAGGCACTGAATATGGAGCTCCTCTACAATCATCCTCCCCTGTGAGACCTGACTGTTCATACTTCTCTCCTATCTCAAGGCTGCTTGGTGTCCTTAAAATCCTTTGATGAGGTGCCTTGCGGAATGCCTTTGGGAATCCAGGTAGGTTATATGAACTGGCACTCGCTTATCAATTTGCTTGTTGGGCTCCGGAAGCTATGTGAGGTAAGACTTCCCTTTAGCAAAGCCACACTGCCTCCTCCCAGACATATCATCCTTATTTAGGTGTCCAGCATCACCCTTATTTAAGTGTCCAGTCTGCTCCACTCCTCTTGTTTTGTTCAGAGCAGGTGCTACCCATCTGTACTGTACCTGCAATGGGGTGCCTCAAGCTATTCCCAGCCCCCCTGCAAGGATTTAACTCTCTTAACTGCCCCTTAAGTTCTACTAAACAATATTAACTCAAATACATTACGTGAGCTACTGCCATATGATGCTATGACCTCAGGAAAATCTCACAGATGAGCTTGGGAAGCCTGGTTTACCTTCATGAACATGCTGAATCCAGTTTTAAGGAGATCGGTGAGGCCTGATGACATGTGCTCAATATCAACAGGATCGGGTCGATCAGGATTACAGATCTCTTCCACTACCTGTTTCAGCAGCGGTTTGTAAGAAGCCTGCACAAAAAGAACAACATGCTGTGAGTAAAGCTGTTTAGAATTGGTGCAACTGCTCTTCTAAACATTTTATTTCCATTAAAGGTAACAAAAATAATTATCATAGAAAGGAAACCATTCAGAGAGTTAAAAAATCATCAAAGCAGCAGTGGTCTTTGTGACTTTGATTGCAAATGGTGTGCACCAGCACAGCATCAAACTGAAAAGACAGGAAGACGGCCACACATCTACTCTGCCCCATGTGTATTATATGAGTAAAGGGAGGCAAGGAAGAAAGGGGGCTTCTAGTTTCTCTGGAATCTTTTTGGAGGTAGTACAGAAAGGGACAGCAATAGGGATGACACTCTGTTGCCCATCATGCACCCAGAAGATCTCATTCCCTTTGTAATGATTTTACAAAGACTTAAACAGGGATTTTTAGGAGGGGTTGCTTACTGACCACTCCTCCCTTCCCACAGGTGTCATGGCAGCACTGAAGCCTGGATATCAGCAGGGCTGGGAAGAGGTCAACCTGCCTGTTTGTCCCTCATGGGAAAGCAGAGCTAAGGAGTCCCTTTTAGTCCTTCAGCTTCTACGGCCAGGGCACTCTACGCAATACTTCCACCTGTGGAAAACCTTGAGAAAAATAGGCCAAACAACCCCACCGACATAATGCATGTCAGAGCTTCAGAGAAGTTAGGAATCAGGTACAAATGGTCAGCATCCTGGAAGATCCACTTCCAAAGGATCCACCCTGCATCCTCTTCAGGGTCCACAAACCTGTGCTGAATATGAATTAGCAGCCTAGAAATTTCCACATGTTCTTACCAAGGTCTAAACCACTCTGCCATACTGGAAAAGGTTCTAAGGTAAAAATTTTAGGGACTTGTGGAAAGATGCTCTTTAATGAAAATTCGACCTTACTTGGTTTACAGATGGAGTTTTGTCTTGCTGCTTTAAACTTTGCCCAAACTGCAACGGAACCACAATCATTTCAGGAAGCACAACAGTCTTAGAAACCTAGCAGCCTTCAAATTAGCACATTTGTTTTCCTTTGGGACTAGCACAGGTATACATCATCCCCTAGATTTCTTAAGGGAATCAAGTGTAACATCATTCATTTTGTAGAGATGATATCTACAAGAGACATCATGCAAGATAAAAAATGGATGGAAAATAAAAAGCAAGCTGCTTGGCTTGAAACTAAAATTTTCTGGAGTAATTAAAGAAATGTTTTTCATCCAACACTTTACAGTGAGAAACAAAACTTACGGTTTTTTAATACAATCCTGTCAACGAAGATTTATACAACTCATCTAGTTCTTCTCACAACACGTGCATAATTTTTAATTGAGCCAACAAAGCAAATTACAGCAGACATGAGCTGCAGGATCTTTTAGGAGAACACGCCAAGATTTGTGTCAAATCTAGTCATGCAATAAACAACTGTTTGAAAATACACATGCAGGCATGAAGTCCCATGTATGAAAATCTGTTTAATATCTTCATAGATGAGGAACAGAAAGACATGAGGAATGAAATATTTTTGGAGTAGAGATCAAATCACAGTTAAACAGAGAGGCTTACTGCACGAAATTAAAGGAAAAATATTATCTGACTTCAGACAAAACTACGTACTCAAAAGATGTTAAAAATGTGCTATGATTTTGTATGTCTAAATTTTCAGCACCAAAACTCAGTGCCCTTCAAAATGATCCAACTCCACTACACAGATACTAAAAGGCAGATACTATAATCACTTACCTTTTTTCAGCTGTGATAGTTTCAAATATTTTCAAAATCTTTTATAACTTGAAATTCATCTATTATATTTTGAGGGTTTTTTTACTTTATTTTTTATACAACCCCCAATAGCTGCATTGATTTCTAACTCATATAATGAAACTTTGATCAACTTTAAATTTTGGTGGGGCACAAACTATGTTTAAAACAGTTGTTAAAAACCTCAATGGTTATGGGACATACCTCAGGGAAGATTATAAGGAGAAAACGAGAGAAAAAGAGAGAGAAAGAGAATGAGAAAAGGAGAGGGAGGGATGGAAGGAGGAAGGGAGGAAGAGAGGGATGGAGAAAGGGAGGAATATACCTGAGATCAAGATGAAAGGAGAACAGTAGTTGCAATATCAGACAAAACAAATACTCTCTTGCATGGTCACTACACGAAGTGGTTTGATAATCTAGTGAAAATATTCATGCATCATTTTATGTAAGACAGATAAACTTCAATGCTACAAAAACTCCTTCTAAGAGGCTATCCAATTCCCACTTATCTATAGAAACCTTTTTTGAGTCTTAACAAGAAATGGAGGCTTCCCAGCTCCTAACACATAAAGCAGAAAAGCACCTATAGGCTAAACCCATTCCCATAGCACTGAGCTGGGCAGGGAATGCGTAGGGCCACGGAAAGGGCACTGCTGCTTCAGAGGAGCTAAGCTGCACGCAACCCATGTATGAACACCTGCCAGTCAAAAGAGAGGTCCATTTGTAGAGAGCTGTATGTATAATGGAAAAAAAAAAAAAAAACCTACTGCCTGCTTATTTCTGCTACTCTAAACCTCCTGAACTGCCCTCAGCAGAAGGCTGGACCTATTCAAGCAATTAAATCCATTGCATAGCCAGATTAGGGGGCTGCAAGGCGTTAATACATCCCTTGCTGCGTTCCAGCACTTAGCCCTAAGCAAACAACCTGGGTTACATCCAAAGAACATACTGATGCTAATTACACTTCCACTAAACTTCTAGAGGATATTTTCCTATCATCCGACTGCCCCCCCACTGAAGCATACTAAATGTTTAACAATTTTCCCCATTTCAGACACCGGACTGGTCCTAAGTGCCAGAAGACTTCAGTAACAGGTTTTCTCCAATTTAGTTTTCCAGTGACATTTTGCAACACTCCTGATATTGTTAGAAAGCGTTGCTTAATTTGAACTACATCCCTTTGCTGGTCCACCGCATGCTTATGAGTTTGGAAGGATTTTTTTCTGGCTCAAGGCTGGAACCAAGTTTTACAGTCTCTCTCTAAATCACTGTATGTGCTTTCCATTGTAAAACTCTATTTTTAACTGAAAAAGTTAAAACACTTTGGGGGAGGTGGAGAGAGAGAAAAACACTATATATTAGTCCTGATGACCTATAGTAATATCGTGGTTCAAGTGTTCATATTTTAGAAACAAAAGCTGCATTTTTCACCGATTTACAAAGAGGAGTGCCTCTCACACTTCTAGAGATGGGAGAGAAAATACACAGGAATATAGTTGCTGTATGGATGTGGTCATCCTGCTTTGCTATGCCATTGGAGGTCTTAGTCCAGGACTGTCTTGACCTAGCCCTGCCTTTCACGGGCATTTATGTCACATCACAGCGCTGCAGAGCAAATCTCTCATTTCTTCCTCAGACAATTCTTTGTTGACATTGGCATGGATACACCTGAGTTTGGATGAAGGACTTGAGGAAGTTCTTGATGATTAGGTCAATTATAAAATCTGTACTTAAATATCTTCCACATGGGCAGAACACATATAGGATTAGCACATCAGCAAAATCAGTGCTGCAATTTTGACAGCATGCTAGAGAAATAACATACACAGGGAAAAGAAAGATCCACTTGCCTGGTGGGTGTTGCTGCCTGGATTATGTATAGAATTAAACTGTTTCATGTGCATTCGAGCTCTGGCAATATCCCTGAGGTACTGAAAGATATCGTCCACTGCATCTGTGGCTTTCTGAGATGTCAGGTTCAACGATGAGTCACAGCCTAAAGAAATAAAGAAAAACAGAGCTGAGTGAAAGCCTTTCAAATGTTTTGATAATACGCAGTAGCAAAAGGATAACTGGGAGGAAATTTTAAATTAGTTTCATCATGTTATATTCTAGAAACTCAGGGGCTTGTTAGACAGCATGTCCTCAGCACAGCACGAGTCCCTGTAGCTAAGAAAGAAGTCATAAATCCTAGACAGCAAGCAAAGTGAACAGCACCTGTCTAACCGCATTTGTAACCTAGATCATACAGCAATTTCATCAGCACAGGGTACGTTTTGCTCTCCACAGCAAACAGAAGATCCCATGCTAGCAGGCCCTGAAGAAGAGCCCTACGTGGAAAGGAACCAGCTGGTTTGCTGCTGTCCTCGGGGTGAAAGAGCCATGCAGAGGGGAATTGCTCCTCAGGCATCGGACTGGAGACCCGCTCGCAGTCTGCTGACTCCAAACGCATTTCCTACCTTTGCGACAAGAAAAATAGGAAAACTCTGCGCTAAATACAGTGGAAATGATAGCTACACATTGGGAAGAGCTGCATTATCATAAAAAAGCCCTTATCCCTCAAAGCGGCACAGCTATTGCTTTTAACGTATTTTTCCAAAGCACTTCTGCTAAGATATAATGCTTATCTTCCACTGAGGCCAAACTCCATTTAGAGGACCATGTAAAAGGTCCCTCCAGGTGGCCTGGCAGTGCCTCGGCAAAGAGAAATTTTTATTCTTGGCTCCATCCCCCTTATCACAGGACCTATATCGCACAGAGGCGTAGAAAAAATGCCTTCTCAGCTGACCTGCTGATGAGAATTATCCAAGTCAGAGAAAACTGGGTCGCCTGGTGTTTGTATTGCCCTGCCAACACAACTCTACACCTTTTGACATCTCTGCCCGCCTCTCTTCTCACATGACTCCTCATCCCCTTGGTGGAAGATCCAGCACAAAATAACCCTTCTTGCCACACACACACACAAGCACACATTCACTCCTGCTTATCGCCAGCATCTTCTCTGGGGGATGCTGCTGCAGTGGTTTGTGCATCCACCCTGGGTCCCGCAATCGGTTCTGCACTGGCAAACCTTTATGTCTGTGCAGAATCCTGCTGAGAGGACGGGGTCTCCCACGGGTCCCAGCACCTGCCGGCTCACGTCGTGCTGCACCAGTGGAGCCCGGCACTGAAAGCAGACAGCAAAACCTGTCGTGAAGGAGCCTGAGTTTTAGGGTGGGGGGATTCTGAACAAACTTTCCTCTACCACCGACAGAGGACAGAATCCTTATGCACTAAAGAAACAAGAAAAAAGGCGGTTCTTTCAAAATTCACAGGGAATTTGTAATAGCTCATCTGGATCACGCTTTCACATCTTTGCATGCTGCACAGCAGAATATATATATAATATATACCTATATACACATACCTACAGAGGTCTGAAACTATTCCTACAAGATGGTGATTAGACACTGAGCTTTCACTTGTCTGAATATTGTTTGTTGAAAGGCTCCAAGTCGGATCCCCAGCTGGTGCAGCAGAACAGATAAAATGACTGTACTTCTGCAGGGCTACAGCAAATCAAGCTGCTGAGGATTTATGCCATTATAACCCACAAAGCAACGAAGCGAACATGAACTGGGCCTCGGGTGATTCCTGTGTTGTAATTCTAAGGCAGACACTCATATGTTTTCGGACAGAGCTCTTGAAATTATTTTTTTTTTTAAATGAGTGCAAAATAACTTACAGAAATATTTTTGTTGTTATGTATGTGCAAGATCTGCGTGTTCTGACACTCTGATTGACCAAAGCTTAGTTTTTCATTTGGCCGAAGAGCCAGTGTGTTGTCAGTGAAAGCCCTGAATGCAAACCCCACTCTGCAGCTCATTACTCCACTCCACTGGTGCTCTGGAAATCAGAGAGATGGCTGCTGCGAGTGATCTTGTGCTGGTTTAGGGGCAAGGGAACGGTGTCCAACAGCTGACAAAAGTGAAACTGAACACCCCCTGGAGAGATAAGGTTGATAAATAAAGACGGAGGTGATAAATCCTGGTTTATATTTATCACTAGCACAGGCAAAATATTCAGAGGAGATTTTGTATTGCTGGTGTGTTTTTACCCTGCCCATGGGAAAACACAGGAATGAGAAAACAGGGAAGTCCCTGTTAGCTCCCAACTCAGAGGCAGTTAACATTTACAAAGCATTTTGCACATGCAAATTAAAATGAAGAGCCATATCTCATTACTGTATTACTAGATTTTTCTTCTCTCCGAGAGATAAGCTTTCTCTGTTTTAGCCACATTAGAGATAAGCAGTTTCTAGCTAATGTAAGTAGTTATATTTTCTTTGTCCTCTCTTTAATCCTTTATCAGCAAAAGCCATTGCTTTTGGCCAGGCCACCTCTGGAATGTTTCGTTTCGCTAGCGAACGCAAGTCCCCCGCACTGAACAAGTTCAGGCAAGGTAAAAATCACATCAAGTTTGCTTTGCACACTCTTTTTTCTTAATTGTTTATTTTCTTGGACCATATAAAAAAAGCCTTTTGTTTTGCCCCTACAGTTATTTTTCTCATGAAAAGAAATACTTGTTTCCTTCTCCTGTTGGCATCACTTCTCTTTCTTTCTCTTTTTATTTTAACAAGAGCCTTTTGACCAAGAAGTTTCAAACCAGCTTGTCACTTCCCACTTCTGGAACTGCAGGGCAGTTTCCAGTGGACATGGTCTGGCTCCGTGGCTGGAAGCCCCCACGATGCTCCTCACCTTGCCTGGCCCAGCGCATCCCACTTTGCTTTTTGTTATTGGGTCAATCTTCTCTTGAGCAATTTCTCGGCGAAGCGCAGCCTCTGTAACATCACTCACCGCTCAAACCTCATTGCCAGGGAAATGCTGTCTGGAGCTTGGGCTTTGCTTTACAGCTTGTGCTGACACACTCGTGGGCTGGAGAAGGCCATGAAATCATTCACCCTCACCATCTGTTTAACAGGCCACATCGCTTCATCACCATCGCCCGAACCAAAGCAAGAGCCTTGGTGTGCCGTGCAGTATGCCAGCAGCTCCTCGTCCTCCCTGTTCAACCATGCAGGCCAGAGCATCTCTCGAGGAGCACTGGAGCAGGGGGTCAATGTATGCTTCCAGTCTCCATGGCAGAGTGTGGTGCTGGACCCAATTTGGAGCAGGTGGGCACCGGGAGTCGAAGCTCCGGCCCGGTGCCAGTTTAAGGCTGACAGATGGAGGGAAAAGAGCCGTACCTTCAAAGGTTTCTCTAAACTGTGGCTTCCTTGGGACTTCTGATCAAGAAATATCACATGTCTGGGGAAGTCATGGCTCTTTTTCTAGCCTGACAACCAGTTCTTCTTTTTCAAAATGTATATTAAAAAATAAGTTTTCTTTGCCATCTTATTGTTGAGATTAATAGCAAAAATCTCAGGATCTCTGAAGGCTGCTGCCTACCTGTCACACTGCAGCAGGTTGGAAGAGGGGAGCTGGGTTTCACTCCAGCCTGGAGAACAACAGAAGGTTGTGTTGTACAAATGGCAGGCGGCTACAAATCACTTCCCGTTCACACCTTCCCCGTGAATGGGGCTGTGTGCGCATATGGAGAGCAGAACACAATCCCTCCTCTCTGCCCGCCTCATGCTACCAAGAAATCTGCTCCTTTTACAACAATGAAGAGGTGGAATACATTAGCTGCTGCACAGCTCATGTGCTAATTAAAACAACTCTTCCTGTTACTGTTTTTTCACAGGAAGTTAAATGGCATTAGGAGAGCATGCTGAATGAATTCCTTTGAATCCCAAGCCCCATTATATATGGGAAAAGGCATTTAAATGAAATTGGGGGATATTGCTTTCCTGTCAGACTTGAAGAAGCCCAGTTGTGGAAAAAAGAAAATCACCGTTAACCAGCATGGGACTAAAGATTTTAAAGCACATATCCAAGATCTTGATGATATCCCAAGAAGAACACAACCTGGTTCTGCAGTAAGTGGTGCCCGACTTCACCGATATTGCTTCTTCCATCCACTTGTGCTGAATTTGAGGGGAGTCAGAGTGTCAGGAGCTGCATCCAGTGCCAAATAGGATGAGACTGCTGGCCCTTATTTTTGACCTACTTTCGAACTTGTTCATCAGAGAGAACAGATCTCCTCTTAAGCTAGGCATCTGCATAACCATTACTACTAGAACTAACCCATTTTCACAAGAAGCTTGAAAAGAGGAGAATGGAGATGCTCTTCTCTACAGTCTGGGGTGACCCAGAAACCAAACTGGACCAGTTTTTCTACTGATTTCTGAAATCGGAAGGAAGATACTGTAAGAAAAGGACACAGACAATACGAACCCACAAGATCTATAATTATACAGTGGCATGTTATTGATTATTCCCTCCCTGAATGCAACAAATGAGAATTTCAGACCTTTCAGTGTATCAGAAAACCTTTCACTGTGCTTTGTCTCTTTTGGTACGTGGTCCAGGAGTTATAAACAAAGTTGTCCTTTCTTGAAAGCAGTACAATAATTATTAACACCATTTACAGAAAAAACCTGATATAAACCCTGCAAACCCTGAAATGGAGCTGGCAGAGTAGCCAAGCCGTTTTAGAGCACACACTGAAGCACAGGCTAAACCAGAAAACCGGTACTTCAAAGAAGAGAAAATCCAGCATCAGGATTCCATTATGCAAGCTATTTTCTACATATGTAGAGTTAATTTGCTTGTCAGTGAAAGACAGAGAAAGAACAGAGATATATGGTGCCTTGAGGGTCAGAACGCAAAATACAGCACTATGATATTAAACTAATGAAAATCCTCTATTTTTATACTTTAGATGATAGCATAGCAATGGGGGCCCTTCTTTTTCTAGCAGATAAATCTAGAAGCATGTATCTGTAATACCCACAGCCATATGTTTTATAAGAGTTTTGATGTATTCATGCATTAAGATTGTTATGAAAAAGGAGGTACGAATGCATATGGTTACACAGACCACGGCTGTTTTTTGCAAGGGAAAAAAAATGTGTAA